GGGAACCCTGCTTCTCCCTCTCCCGCTCCCCCTGCTTGTGTTCCCTCTCTCGCTGTGTATCTCTCTGTCAAATAAATAAAATCTTAAAAAAAATAAAAATATTGTATATTCTAGTTATTGTAATACTTCAAAATTTGAGTTTAGATTGTGCAAGTAAACATACATTGCAACTCTTTAGACCATATAAATATACAATAGATGAATCCAGAAGTTGGGGCTGGATCATGCCTTTTGAAAATTATTGTGTTTTCTTGAATTTGGGAATATACAGATCCTGGATATATCATTAATTGAAAGCAGGTTAGGTCTTGGACAATTTGAGTAAATTATCTTATATGGTAGTAATACTCTAATACAGTGTTAGGATTGATTTCTTAATTATTAGGATTTTTATATCTCTGTTTATAAATAAAGATGTAAAACTCCTTTACATTGGCTTTTAATGTTAATTATGTACTCTGTATTAGCTTGCTAGGGCTGCCATAACAAATACCACACACTGGGTAACTTAAACAACAGAAATTTATTTGATCATAGTTATGGGAGGCTAGAAGTCCAAGATCAAGGTTTGGTTTCTTCCGAGACTAGGTCTTCACGTGGTCTTTTCGTTTGTGCATGTGTAGTCCTGGTGTCTCTTTGTGTGTCCAAATTTCCTCTTATAAGGACACTGGTCAGATTGGATTAGGTTCCATGCTAAGGGACTCATTGTAACTTAATCATCTCTTTAATAGCCCTCTCTCCAAACAGTCACATTTTGAGGTATTGGGGGTTAGGGCCTCAACATGAATTTTGGGGGGACATAATTCAAACCATAACATACTCTTTGTCCCATTTAAGTATCAAAGTTTTAGTGACCTCTTATGTAAGTTGGTAAGTATTCTATTTTTACCCCCCAGGCTCTTTATATAATATATAAATTATCTATTACTTGAAGGATTGGCACACTGTATTCTTTTTTTTTTTTTTAAAAGATTTATTCATTCATTTGAGAGAGAGAGAGTACGTGCAAATGGGGGGCAGGGCAGAGGGGGATGGAGAGGGACAAGAAGACTCCACGCTGAGTACAGACTCCACGCTGAATAGGAACCTGACTCAGGGCTAGAGGTGGGCCCAACCCCAGGACCCCGAGATCACGACCTGAGCTGAAACCCAGAGTTGGTCTCCTGACCGACTGCACCACGCAGCACCCCAGCATGCCGTGTTCTTAAAAACACCTGGTCCTTCGAGAACTTTTAAGGGGCTATATCTTTAAATATTTTAACATTTTTTTCCTGTTGGTTATGTTTTATTCAGGTTTTCTACTTCTTCCTGAATAAAATTAGGTTATTTCTTAGATAATGATTAATTTCATGTAGATCAGTAATTGCCAACTGGGGGCAATCTTACACTGTCCTCCACCCCAGACGTTTAAATGTCTGGAAACATTCTTGTTCATCACAATTAGAGGGAAGGGGATTAATACTGACATCTAGTGAGCAGAGGACAGGGATGCTACTATGAACACCCTACACTACACAGGATAACCTCTCACAACAAAGAGTTATCTGATCCAATGTAGGAAAGTTATCTGATCCAAAATGTCAACAGTGTGAAAATCCTGCTCTAGATGTTCAAACTTACTGGTATAAAGTAGTAGAATGTTTAAAAAGAATCTCAGTTTATATAGTTATATAAAATTCCTCATTCATAATGTCTTAAGTTTTTAATTTTTTTTCTGGACCACACCCATATTCTGACCTCTAGAAAGAACACTTCTGGATTATGGACTAAATCTAGACTAGTGTTGACTCGATTTAATCTCTACATTTATTAATTCTTCTCTTGTTTTGGAAGTTATTTTATTTGCTTTCTACCTTCCTGTGTTTTACATGTAGTTTATTTTTCTGTTTATTAAATTATATGCATGTATCAAAGGATATACATTTTTCTATCAGTACAGCTTTGGGTCACATTACACAGCATTTGATATGTAGTACTCTCAATATCACTCATTACTAAAGATTCTGTATTTTGGTTTGTTTTTTTTTTTTAAAGACTTATTTATTTATTTGAGAGAGCGAGAATGAGAGAGAGAGAGTACATGAGAGGGGGGAGGGTTAGAGGGAGAAGCAGGCTCCTCGCCGAGCAGGGAGCCTGATGCGGGACTCGATCCCGAGACTCCAGGATCATGACCTGAGCCGAAGGCAGTCGCTTAACCAACTGAGCCACCCAGGCGCCCCAAGATTCTGTATTTTGAACTTTTAGTTTCTTCCTTAAATTACCGAGTTAATAGTGTATTTTGTTTTAGCTCAACTTTTTTACTTGATTTATCATTCTATTGCCTTTCTGTCAAAGTGGGGTGTTTTTTTTTTTTGATGTTCAATAAAAGATAAGTGGTTACCGATGACTTCCCCATATTTTTCATATTAAAGAATGTTTTTATAATGCCATAAAGTAAAATCTTCGTAATGGTTTCCTACATTTGTTACATTCATTATAAAGACTGTGTTTATCAAAAATCCACTAATTACAATAAAGTATAAACTGAGTTTTTCCACATTATTTACATGAGTATAATTTCATGCTAATATAAATCACTGACATAAGTAAGAATTAAGATAAATAAAAATTTATTATATATTACATTCATGTGGCCTTTCTCCTGCTTGAATTCTCTGATGCGAATTATAAAATAAAGCAAAAGACCTTCCTATACTTTCTACATTCACAGAGTTCTCATCTAGTAATTATCTGATGTCCCATAAGAGATTACTTAGAAGCAAAGGATTGTCTATATTCATTACAGTACTAGAGATTTTCTTTCTCTAATATGAATTTTCTCATGTCGAGTAAGACACGAACCACGGATAAAGGTCTTCCCACACTCCTTACATTCATAGGGTTTCTCACCAGTGTGAATTATCTGATTATGAATAAGTTGTGCTCCTTGACCAAAAGATTTGCCACATTCCTTACATTCATAAAGTTTTTCACCAGTATGAATTCATTAATGGTGTGGAAGTTCTCTGTTATGACTAAAGGACTGTCTACATTCCTTACACTCAAAGAGTTTTGCTCTGGAATGAATTTTTTGATGTCCGATAAGATTTGAATGATAACGGAAGGCTTTATTACAATTGTTACATTCATAGGATCTTTCTCCAGTGTGAATTCTCTGATATTGAATAAGGATTGAGTGGTGATGGAAGGCTTTCCCACATTCCCCACATTCATAGGGTCTTTTTCCACTGTGAACTCTCTGATGTCCCTTAAGAATTGAGCTGTTGCTAAAAGCCTTCCCACATTCTTTACATTCATAGTGTTTTTCTTTAGTATGTGTTTTTTCATGTCGAATGAGGGATGAGTGGTAACTGAAAGCTTTTCTACATTCTTTGCATTCATAGGGTTTCTCTCCAGTATGAATTATCTGGTGTAGAGTAAGGTGTGAGCCACGACTAAAAGCCTTTCCACATTCCTTACATTCATAGGGTCTTTCTCCAGTATGAATTCTCTGATGTCAAATGAGATTTGAGGGGTGGTGGAAAGCTTTCCCACACTCATTACATTCATAGAGTTTTTCTCCATTATGAATTCTCTGATGTCCAGTAAGTTTTGAGCAACTGCTAAAAGCCTTTCCACAATCCTTACATTCATAGCATTTTTCTTTGGTGTGATTTCTCCCATGGTGAATTAGCAGTGAGTGGTAATTGAAGACTTTCCCACATTCTCTGCATTCATAGGGTTCTTGCCTAGTATGATATATCTGATGTAGACTATAGGATATTTGTTGACTGAGACTTTGCATATTTTCATGGGTGATTGTCACAACTTTAAGATATTCTTCTTGATTTCTCTGTTCTGTCTGAAAATGATGATTATACTTCCAATCATCTTGAAAAATGGAACATCCAAAGTCATGGATTGTAAGTCTTTCCATTTTCTTCCTTTGAGATAACTTCATTTCATAATTGTCATCCTTTGATGATAACTCCTTTGTTGCACATTGGGATTTCACATCTGAGAAGTGAGAGAGAAAGAAAACATGCATTTTTTCCAGTTCCTGGAAGAACAAAATTTCTGAAATAGGGATATTAGCACAATACCTATAAGAAATTGATGGCTTGGAAAGATCTCAAATATAACCATGGAAGGTGAATGTGGACAAAGAAGGTGATTAAAGAAGCAGGTTAACTGTTTCTAAAATGTTGCTTCAGATCAGAATTACTGGGAAGATTGTTAAAAATACAAATGGTAGAAGTATCACTTCAAAGCAATTGAATCAAAATCTACAGGAACAGGCCTTGACTTTAAGAAAAATCTCTAATGATTCTGATGTAATCTGAAAGTGGAAAATCACTAAGGTTTTCCTTTGCACTTAGTATAACATTTGAATAACTTAACATTAACTCTAAGGTGATGTCATGAGCTGGCCCTAGCTAACATATTACTGAACCATGCTCTTCCCCAGTTCACTATGCTCTGTTCCAAAAGCAGATAAAAAACTTTTCTACATTAGCGTGATTTGCATTGCTGTTCTGGCGGGTACTGTCTTTGTATGGCTGGCCCCTTCTCATCCTTCTGCTCTCAGTGTAAATATAATTACAAATAACACTAAAAATCCCTCCTCTCAAACAGCGTCAGACAACACCAAATCTTATTCTAGTCCAGGATGACTAACCATAATCTTCACAATTTTTGCCTCATTTATTTTTCTCATTTTCTACACTAGGCTATAAGATTCCTATTGGAAGGCACCATGTTTGTTTCACTATTATTTAATCAGCTTTTTAGCACAATATCTACCATATATATATATATATATAAAACAGGTGTTCAATAAGTAACTATTGAATGGTGAGGGTTAAGGAAAAGGAATTAGAATGGGGATATAGGAAAATATCAGGAAGTTAACAGGGAAAACAATTAAGCTCCATAATCATTATTTTAAAAGAATCTTTATGATGTTCTATGCATTGTAGCAAAATTATATAACTTAAGTTTCATGTGATTATGAACATATAGATTTGCTGATGTGGGGAAACTAGAGGATACCCTCCAATGGGACAAAGGGTGTCTTGGTGGCTAGTGAGCCATAAATTCTGTAATAAAAAGAATGTTGGGTGTTAGTTGATGAAGCAAGACGATGGCAATTCAAAGTGGAAAATATCCTGGGGAAAGTTCAAAGGGCTCAATGAGTCTGCTATGAGCAGATGACAAGGAGGTAGTTTTTATATCTAGAGTAGAGACTGTGTAAAATACCATTTATTTGCTTGGCATGTGAAGATGCTCACCAAGGATAAGAAACAAGTAGACTCACCGATGGCAATAGCCACTGACAGTCTGAAGTGAAAGCAACCTTCGGATAGCATGACAGAATAAAATGCAAAGTGGTGTAGAGGGAAGATCCAAGGAACTGTATCACAGAGACTGGATTTCAAGTCTCGGCTCTGCTAATTACAAGGATTGTGTCATTGGAAGAATTATTTACAATGTCTAAGTCCCACTTCCATATCTGTAAAATGATGGTAACACCTAACATAAGTTAATTGCTAAAATTAAGAGTAATTTAGGGTGAGATTGGGAAAACAATGGAAACTGTCTGAAGCTCGGTGATAGGTACATTATTATATTATTCTCTTTACTTTTGCAAATATTTGAAAATTTCTATAATAAAAAGAAGAGAATAATTTGGGTAAAGTCCCTAAAATGCTATTTTAATAAGTGTTAATTATAATAAAGAAAAAATATTTTCACAAAAATGATGAAATTGGATAAGGCAAACTATTTTGAAGACATCAAAGTAGTGCCAGGCTGAGAAGCATAGGCCAAAAGGTAAACATTATTCTAGCATCAGATCTTCTTCAACATTCAGAAAATCTTGCCTAGCTCTTTTTTTTTTTTTAAAGATTTTATTTATTTGAGAGAGAGAATGAGAGAGAGAGAGAGCACATGAGAGGGGGGAGAGTCAGAGGGAGAAGCAGACTCCCTGCCGAGCAGGGAGCCCGATGTGGGATTCAATCCCGGGACTCCAGGATCATGACCTGAGCTGAAGGCAGTCGCTCAACCATCTGAGCCACCCAGGCGCCCCTTGCCTAGCTCTTAAATAGGTCTTTGATTTTTTTCTCTTCTCTTGATGTCCACCGCCGATAATCCCAAGCATAAATGATTTCTCATATAGGGAGAAAATATTTGCAAACCATGTATCTGATAAGGGTTTAATATCCGAAACATATAAGGAACTCATACAACTCAACAGCAAAAAAATAGTGTGACTAAGAAATGGGAAAAGGACCTGAATAGACATTTTTTCCAAAGAAGACATACAAATGGCTGAGTCCATGAAAATGTACTCAACATCACTAATCATTAGGGACATGCAAATCAAAACCACAATGAGATATCACCTCATGCCTGACAGAATGGCTATTATCAAAATGACAGGAGATAACAAGTGCTGGCCAGGATGTGGAGAAAAGGGAACCCTTGTACAATGTTGGTGGGAATGTAAATTATTACAGCCACTGCGGAAAACAGTATTGAGGTTCCTCAAATAATTAAAAATTGAACTGCTATATGATCCAATCATCCTACTTCTGAGTATGTATCCAAAGGAAATGAAATCACTATCTTGAAGAGATATTTGTACCCCCATGTTCACTGTAGCATTAGTCACAATAGCCAAGACATGGAACAACTTATGTGTCCCATGACACATGAATGGATAAAGAAAAGGTCGTGTTTATATTCAGCCATAAAAAAGAAGGAAATCCTGCCATTTGTGACAACATGGATGAACCTTAAGGGCATTATGCATAGTGAAATAAGTCATAAAGAGAAAGTGATCTCATTTATATGTGAAATCTAAAAAGCTGAACTCATACGAACAGAAAGTAGATTGGTGGATAGGGAATCTGGGTGGTTCAGTCAGTTAAGCGTCCACCTTCAGCTCAGGTCATGATCCCAGAGTCATGGGATGGAGTCCAGCATTGGGCTCCCTGCTCAGTGGGGAGACTGCTTCTCCTTCTTCACCCCTTCCCCCCACTTGTGTTCTCTCTTGCTCACTCTGCTCTCTCTCAAAAAAAAAAAAAAATCTTTAAAGAACATACAATTCAACACCAAAAATCCCCACAAACAATTCGATTAAAAAATGGAGAGAGGACCTAAATAGACATTTTTCCAAAGAAGACATATAGATAGCCAATCAATCAATCAATGCAATATCTGTTTTTACAAAGAAGAATGCATGTATATATACCTTTTGTAATTAAAAATAATTTTTAAAAATCAGAGAAGGGTATAATTAAGAAGAGAGTAACGGAGATCATGTTCTTTTCTAACAGTTTTATTGAGATACAAATCACACTCCATACAATTCACTCATTTAGAGAACATAATTCAGTGATTTTTAGTATATTTACACAGTTGTGCAACCATCACCACAGTCAAGTTTAGAACATTTTCATCATCTCAAAATCGAAAAGAAAGCTGTATCCTTCAGCAGTAACTTCCCATTGCCCCCAATCTCACCAGCCCTAGGCAACAACTAATCTACGTTGTATCTCTACAGATTTGCCTGTTCTGGACATTTTATATAAATGGAATCATACAATATATAGTCTTCTGTGTCTGGCTTCTTTCACTTAACATATATTTTCAAGGGTCATCCATACTGTGGTGTATATTAGTACTTCACTCCTTTCTAGTGACAAATAATATTACATTGTATGGCTATACCATATTTTATTTTTCTATTCATCAGCTAATGGACATTTGAGTTGTTTTTACTTTTTGGCTATTGTGAATAATGCTGCAATGAACAGTCATGTACAAGTTTTTCTGGGGACATTTGATTTTCTTGTGTAAATACCTAGGAGTATAATTGCTGGGTAAAATGGTAACTCTATGTTTAACCTTTTGAGAAACTGTCAAACAGAATAGCTGCCCCACCTTACATTCCCACCAGCAATGTATGAGGGTTCTAGCTTCTCCACATCCTTGCTAACAATTGCTATTATTTTTTTATCATAGCCATCTTAGTAGCTGTGAAGTGGTAAAGCTGTATTTTTAATAGCAAATTTTTAAAGATAATCTCCATATTTATCATTGGGATTTTGGTGAAGTACATGAAAAAATCCATATGACAGAATACTAAGTAACTAAAAATTGTGATCCAGATTACAAATAAGGAAAGTTATCCATGATACAGTGAAGTTTGCACGGTGCAATCCTGTGATTTTCTCTAGTTGATACAATTACAAGTTTGCATTTTCTTATATTTTACTAAATATTTATAAACCTTTTTTAAAGATTTATTTATTTATTTTGGGGGGGACAGGGAGGGAGAGAATCTCAAGCAGACTCTGTGCTGAGTGCAGAGCCCAACGTGGGGCTTGATCCCACGACCCTGAGATCATGACCTGAGCTGAAATCAAGAGTCCAACACTCAACTGATTGAGCCACCCAGGCAACCCAATATTTATAAACTTTTAAAGTAAAAAAGAATAATGCTATATAGTATTTCCAAAAACAACAGGATTTACTTCTACCAAATTGCAAATTTTCTTTAAGCAAGAAAAATGTCACTTCTATTCCCTCTTTTCCTACATGCATAAAGTTTATAACATGACTGCTCAATATCATATTTATTTTTTATTTATTTATTTGAGAGAATGAGAAATCATAAGCAGGGGGAAGGGGTAGAGGGAGAAGCAGACTCCCCACTGAGCAGGGAGTCCAATGTGGAACTCAATCCCAGGACCCAGAGATCAAGACCTGAACCAAAGGTAGACGCTTAACCAACTGAGCCACCCAGATGCCCTTCAATATCATATTTGAACAAATATATGCCTCATTTAACTTCACAATATATTATGACTAAAATATCTGAAACATGCCCCTAAGATCTCAGAAATGTATTTTTTTTAATAAAGAAAAACAATTTCTTCTCTATCCCTCATATTTCAAATGAAGAATAATTATTTGGTGCCTTTCGTTTGTAATCTCACTTCTGCCCAATGAACTTTTAAGGTCCTTGAAGATGACATGTCAAATGTCACAGCCTTTGGTGGCTTTTTATCCTCCTGTTTTCACAGATATGTGCCACTGCTGACCTTTTTGATAATTAGGACTTGGTTTTCTGGCCCTGCACTCTCCTAATCCTCAGCCTTCATATCTAAGTTCTTCTTTACCTCCTCTTCCTCAGCACATACAATGAGGCTTTACTTGCAATCTCTCTGACAGTCTCCTCACTCCCACATTCCACCTAGTGGCTCCACTTTGATAAATCCCATGGCTACATCTTTAAGCCTCACTTTCTTTTGATTTCTCTGTCTGTACCTTTTGGAAGTTATTTGTGGTTCCCCTATTATACAGTAAATTACTTAGGAACTTTTTTTTAATCATCTGGTAAAGTATTACGTACAAATTAGCAAACCAAATACTAATGAAAAGGAGGCTTGTGCAGGGGATATGTTTAAGGGGTAGATGAGAGGGACACCCTCCAACTTCTTAATCTAATTCTTTAAATGGCTTTCTCTGCATCTGACAAATTTTTGGCACTTTTTTTTTTTAAAGATTTTATTTATTGATTTGAGACACAGAGATACAGAGAGAGAGAGAGAGCATGAGCAGGGGGAGAGGCAGAGGGAGAGGGAGAAGCAGACTCCCCACTGAGCCAGGAGACTGATGTGGGGCTCGATCCCATGACCTGAGCCGAAGGCAGACGCTTAACCATCTGAGCCACCCAGGCACCCCCAAATTTTTGGCACTTTAACTTCAAAAATAAGTAGGCTAGATTTCATCCTTTTTATGGCTGAGTAATATTCCACTGTTTATATATACCACATCTTTAACCATTCATCAGTTGATGGACATTTGGGCTCTTTCCATAATTTGGCTGTTGTAGATAATACTGCTATAAATATCAGGGTGCATGTATCCCTTAGAATTAGTATTTTTGTAAATACCCAGGAGTACAATTCCTGGATCATATGGTAGTTCTATTTTTAACTTTTTGAGGAGCCTCCATACTGTTTTCCAGAGTGGCTGTACCAGTTTGCATTGCCACCGACAGTGCAAGAAGCTTCCCCTTTTTCCATATCCTCACCAACACCTGTTGTTTCTTGTGTTGTTAGTTTTAGCCACTCCAACTCCTAATTATAGAGAACAAACTGATGGTTACCAGAGGGGAGGGGGGTGGAGGAGTGGGTTAAATAGGTGATGGGGACTAAAAGGTACACTTGTTGTGATGAGCACTGGGTATTGTATAGAAGTGTTGAATCACTAAATTGTACATCTCAAACTAACATTACACTGTATGTTAACTAACTGGAATTTATATCTCAGGCTGAATTCATGGGTGTTCAGAATGCTTTGATAGTTATCTAGCTAAATTCAAGGGACCAGATGAAATGAGGTCCCCTACTCTACCACCATCTTGCCTCCCTCCCAACTAACTGGAATTTAAATAAAAACTTAAAAAGATAAGTAGGCTAGCAAAAATAAATAAATGAGTTACATATATCATCAAATGATTTTCAACAAGGATGTCACAGCTACCCAACAGGGAAAGGACAGTCTCTTCAACAAATGGTGCTGGGAAAACTGGATATCCACATGCAAAAGAATGAAGTTGGATCCTTACCTTATACCATACACAAAAATGAACTAAGAATGGACTAAAGTCCTAAAGATAAAACCTGAAACTTAAAACTCCTAGAAGAAAGCATAGGGGGAAGGCTTCATGACATTACATTTGGCAATGATTTCCTGGATATGACACCAAAAGTAAAAACACAAAGATTGGACTACCTCAAACTTAAAAATATCACAACAAAGGAAACAGTCCAGAGAGTGAAAAGGCAATCTATGGGATGGGAGAAATATTTACTAACCATATACCGGTAAGGAGTCAATATCCAGAATACACAAAGAATCCCTACAACTCAACAACAATTAAAAAAAAAAACCCAACCTGATTTAAAAGTGGGCAAAGGACTTGAATAGACATTTCTCCAAAAAAGAAATACAAATGGCTAACAAGCACATGAAAAGGTATCACTAATCATCAGGGAAATGCAAAACAAAACCATAACAAGATATCAACCTCATACTCATTAGGATGACCACTATCAAAAAAAGAACAGAAAATAAAGAGTGTTGACAAGGATGTAGAGAAATTGAAACCCTCATGCACTGTGGGTGGGAATGTTAAATGGTGCAGCCACTATGGAAAACAATATAGAGGTTCCTCAAAATATTAAAATAGAGGTGCCATATGATCCAGCAATTCCACTTCTGGGTATATATCCAAAAGAACTGAAAACAGGATTTTGAAGAGATATTTGCACACCCATGTTCATTGCAACATTATTCACAATAGCCAAGAAGTAGAAGCAACCTAATGTCCTGACAATAGAATGGATAAAGAAAATATGGTATATACATACAATTGAATATTATTTGGCCTTAAAAAGGAAACCTGTCATATGCTACAACCTTCACATGGATGAACCTTGAGGACATTATGTGAAGTGAAATAACCCAGTCACAAAAAGACAAATAGTGCATGATTCCACTTATATGAGATATCTAAAGCAGTCAAACTCTTAGAAACAGAAAGTAAAATGGTTGACAGGTGATGAGGAGGGGAAAGGGAGTGATTGTTAATGAATATAGAGTTTCAATTTTGCAAGATGAAAAAATTCTATAGCTCTTATATGCATAATTAATTCTATACTGAACACTTAAAAATGGTTAAGACGGCAAATTGTTATGTATGTTGTTTTTTTCTACCACAATAATTTTTCTACCACAATAAAAATGAACATATTCTATAATCTGAGAAATTAAAAAATGAATAAATAAAACATTGAATCAAAGAGAAACTAGTAGGGGCACCTGGGTAGCTTAGTCAGTTAAGCATCTGACTTCAGCTCGGGTCATGACCTCAGGGTCCTGGGATTGAACCCCACATTGGGCTCCTGGCTCAGTGAGGAGTCTGCTTTGTCCCTCTCCCTCTCTCTCTCTGCTCCTCCCCCTGCTCATGCTCTTTCTGTTTCTTTCTTGAATAAGTAAAATCTTTTAAAAGAAGAGAGAGAAACTAGTAAAGAAATGGGGGCAGATTACTGGAAAGGAGCTAAAATAATATGAGTAATATTTAGAGAAAAGAATACATACATCAGAAGATGGAGAAACTATACAAGACCAAAAGAGAAAGAGGAACAGGGAAATAACTGGATCTTAATTATAGCCAGAACACTTGTCACTGGGGAAAAAAAGAGGACACCTCCCTCTTTGAAGAACATTCTGGACAGTCTTGCCTAAGGGCTATCATCTCACTGAGCAGGTGGTCTATTCCTGCAGCAGCTTCCCCCTCTCTAAGTTTCCCTCACCTACCTGGGTATAGGCTTTTTGGTGACTCTTTCTCAACAATCCAAGGCTCATTATCTTGTTCCAAAAAGGAAATCAAAGTTGGTTTAGGAAGAGAGAGTCCTGTTGACAACAACAAAAATGGAAATAGGACTTAGTTATGCCAAGGATATCCAAACTTCAGACCCAATTCCTTGGTAAAGAAGTGGAAAACTCAGAGAAATATGTCAAGATTGTCTAAAGAGTGGGGAAGATGAAGCTTTAGCCACAGTACAAAAGGACTGCCCATTTCCAATTCTACAAAGTTCAAATTGCTCTGTTCAGAAGCAGAAAGTCAGAATGGCATCCAGAAAATTTATAGCAGAGGATGGAGGCATTCTAGTTAGAAGAGATTTTTTCAGTATCAACTACTTTTATGTACTGTTGTGTAAATTCAAAAAAACTATCCTATATGCATATACAAAAGTTGTCTATACACAGGTCTGTATATAAAGTGGAATCTTAATTACTGGGGGAGGAGGGGAGAGCATCCTTACCCAATGAAACCAAGTGGCTGTAGTTCTCCAACATCACATCTCTGTACAAGTTCCTCTGCTTCAAGTCCAGAAATTCCCACTCCTCCTGTGAGAAGTCTACAGCCACATCCCTGAACATCACTGCTTGCTGAAAAAACAAAGTTATATATTACTTATGAAATTCATATATCTCTACTTCACTAAACCCCAAATCTGATGAGGGATGACTTCCTGGTTCCTTGAGGGAAGTGCTCCTATTAAAAGACTGAGCACAAGGTTTGCCGATTGATTCATTGAATGAGTATGTAAAGGTGTAAAAAGAAGAGAATGGTATGGAGCAAGGCTCTGGACTATGCGTCCCACCACTGTTGGAAGGGAGAAGCTTGGAACCAGGCTCCTGGATGGGGCTCAGTGTGAAAGAAAGTTTCAGGATAAGGAAATCTAATATAATGGCCTGGAAAGAAATTATTGTAATCCTGGAAACAGAGAGAAAACCCCAATAACCTCAGTCATACTCAGGATCATAAGCACTATTCATTTCTACTCTTTTCTTTCTTCTCTCTTCAGCTTTATTCCCTCTTCCCTTGGAGACAGGCTTAGTTCAGAGAAGACAAAACTAAGGAAGGAAAAGAAAAGGCAGTGAGAAATAAGACTTGCTAACGGGTCTCTGAATCATCAGGTTAAATATGACTCCCACTACTACAAGAGTATTGGCCTTACAATAATTCATTAAGCTATATGTTTACATTGTGCAGTTTCCTGCATCTGTTACATTTTACAATAAAAATTAAAAAAAAAAACAAAACTATCACTTTCACTCTCCTTCCTATTCCTACTCTCCTTGCCCATGCCATCTACTCACATACATAAACACAAAGGACATATGAGGGAATGTAGAACATAATGGCTGTCTCCTACACTAAGGACCAGTGTTATGCCCCTTGAATGAATGGCCTTCCAAACACACAGCAAAAAAAAAATTCATCATACAAAGAACTAGAAAAACTTCAACTTGTAAGGACAAAGACAACCAATAGATGCAAATGCTAAAATGACACAGATGGTTGAAATTATCACTGCCTTTAAAGAAGCTTTTATAACCGTGCTGTTGAACACTCTTGAAATGAAGAAATATAGAAGATCTCAGATTCTGGGAGATGGCAGAGTAGAAGAACGAGCAATCTGTCTCCTCATCTAGACAACAATTGTGCTGGCAGAATCTGATGTAACTTTTAGAACTCTGGAGTCAGGGGCACCTGGGTGGCTCAGCAGATTAAGCATCCTACTCTTGATTTTGGCTCAGGTCATGATCTCAGGGTCATGAGATTGAGCCCTGTTGATGTCAGTCTCCGTGCTGGGTGTGGAGCCTGATTAAGATTCTCTTCCTCGGGCGCCTGGGTGGCTCAGTTGGTTAAGCGACTGCCTTCGGCTCAGGTCATGATCCTGGAGTCCCTGGATCAAGTCCCGCATTGGGCTCCCTGCTCGGCAGGGAGTCTGCTTCTCCCTCTGACCCTCCCCCCTCTCATGTGCTTGCTCTCTCTCATTCTCTCTCTCTCAAATA